CAGGAAGCCAGGCCTGGGCTCAAGGCCAGACTTCTCTAATTACCAGCTATAACCTTGGGCAAGTCACCTCCCCCAGAGTAAGTCACAGACAGGGAAAGCGCTCCACACGCTCATTCCTCAGGGAAGGGCCTATTATGCACAAATCACTGGAGAAGCATGAATTCCACCCTGCCCTCAGGTAAAGATATCAAACTCTAATGAAGGTCTCAACTTAAAACAGTACTGCGTGCGCAATTATAACGGCGAAAAAGAAAAACCAGGAGAAACAAAGCGGGCACGCTCACCGGTTTGTTAATGTTGGCTCCTGCTTGGATCAGCCAGACCAGGCACTGAGGGTGCCCTCCAAAGGCAGCGATGTGGGCGGGCGTCTGGGCGTAGCGTGAGGTGGACACATTGAGGGTGGCCCCAGCTCTCACCAGCTGCATCAAGCACTCCAGCTGGGGAATAGAAGGAGGGAGTGAGGACACGCAGACCCGTCAGTATGCCGCGAAATGTCACACGAGTCACGCACATTCCATGGTAGTGACATGCCGCATTTTGCTACCAGGTTTTCAGAGAGACCAAATTAAGTCAGTCCTTCCCAATACCATGCAAATTTTAAAGGCATTCGAAAGAATAATTTTCCTATGGAAAACAGTCCCTCAGCACAGCTGAGCTCTGTACCCGCTGCCGAGTATGGAGCCCGGCGTGCTGAGGCAAGACTGTAGCCAGGAACCAGCATCATGCTAGCCTCCGGCTACAAGAATTCTTCACAGCCGGCACACTCAGCAAGCGTCTGCCTGTGCCCAGCGACTCAACCCATGTGCTCTCTGGCCCTGGATTGCCATTCGCCCACTGATCACTATGTGGTCAGTGAAAGCCACGCCTCACTGCAAACAATTCTCCCAAGAGACACCTCACATAAAGACAGAACGCTCGCCCTCCCCGAACGCAGCGAAGGCTCCTCATCCATCTAGCATCTTCGGTCGTTCCCTGCAATGAGCACGTCTGCAAGACGTGAGAGCTGAGAGTGCAGCTGTGAAACCCTGACTGTCTTCAACGAGCCTAAATTTGGGGGTGAAGACTGATGAGACACACTCATCTACTTCCATTTATTACCCTTGTTAATTTACTGGGTGAAAAATGAAAGGGTTAGCCAGTGATAAGATGAACAGACATCAAGCCCGGTACCAAGGAAACAAAGATGAAAAATCCTTGGCCTGCCAGATGTGGTTAATCTTTAACGTCAACTGAGCACTCACTGGACGTAAGCCGGCTCAACCTAGGGGTTCAGCTGAGGAAACGGGGATTGGAATTCTGAGAAGATGCTGCTCTGCGTGGCATCTCACAAAGGCGAGGCCACCTTAGTGCTCTTCACGTTAAGCCTCACCCACGCTGAGGTGCATGGGCACCCGGCACATTTCAGAACACGAGCCTGAAACTCACACAAAGGGGGGCAGGTGCAGCTGAGTCCTGGCCCCACGTCCTCCCCACAGAGAGGAACGACTGGACTCCAGACAGGGGCTCTCTGAGGCCACTTCTACACCCAAGACTGGACAGGCCGCGATCAGACAGCTGAAAACAATCAAGGACCTGCCTCCAGTAAGAACATCTGATCCCCAAAGTAAAAAGCTACAACTCAAGTTCCAAAGACGCAGACACGTTTTAAAAGTGATTTCAGTCAGATTTTTAAAAAATTGTGGTAAAATACACAAGGCATAGCATTTACCATCTGAGAGCAGTTAGGCTGCTCTTATCCCCTGAGACGCCTGGAGGCCCCCTTGGGTTGGTCAACGAGAACCGCAAGTGACCACCTGTAATGAGGCTACCCACACAGCTGGCTGCATCATCCTCAGTTGGGGAGAGGGGGGATGGAGCCCCCAAATAAAAGCAGTCCTTGACCACAGAGGACTCTTTCCCCAAAACACGCAGCGATAGGAGAGATGCTGAGTTTCCTCACGCTGGATGTAAAAATAACCCCAGCAAGAGGCACTAGGGAGGAGCCAATCCCCAGACTGCTAACCGCCTCGGGAAATCCACTCAAGGCCAGCAGGAAAGCCAGCTCTTAACTTTTGTTTGTTGAGGAACTGATTTCCTGTGGGCACTCGTTTTCTGCAGCTGATCCCACAGCAGTACAACTTGAAGGCAGTGCGCCCTGGGGACCCAGCACCCGAGGGCTGAGGAACTTGTCTGCCCCACCCCCTTTGTCAAAACTCCTTTCTTTTGCGAAAAGAAAAAAAAGCCTCAGACTTTCCACTTTAAGAGCAGAATGAGAAACTGTTTCCCAAGAGGTACGACAGCTGTGAAGGCAGCACGAGGGACGCAAAGTCCCATCATCAGCTGGCAGTAAGGACGGGAAGAGGGCCAGGCCTTCCTAATAGAACCCATTTACATGATCCCCCATATATTTCTGCAAAACCCTTTCTTTATTTGAACCTAACCTCTTCATCTACGAGGGAAGACGTTTAACGTCCCTGAATTTTGGTGGACAAAAAAAGCTCCCCATTGAAGTCAAGTCACTTTCGAAATGGTGAACCTCAGTGAAAGACATCTTGTTAGGGATTGGGCCCAGTGGCTCACACCTGTAACATCAGCACTTTGGGAAGCCAGGAGCTCAAGACTAGCCTGGGTAACACAGTGAGATGCACCCCCTCTAAAAAAAAATTTAAAATTAGCTGGGAGTGGCAGTGCTCTGTAGTTCCAGTTACTTGGGAGGCTGAGGATTATGTGAAACCAGGAGGTGGAGACCCCGCCTCTATAAAAAAAAAAAAAAAAAAGAGAACACTTCTTTGAGCAGGTATCTCAACTGCCTTTACAGGTGAGGACTTTGTAGTTACTCAACCTTTGAAAAACTCGCCGGGCTCGGCAGCTCAGCCTGTCATCCTGCACCTTTGGGAGGCTGAGGTGAGTGAATGGCCTGAGCCCGCAGGTTCGAGACCCGTCTGGGCAGTGAGACCTCATCTCTACAATAAATCAAAATGAGCCGGGCGTGA